TGAAGCTGTCCAACAACAGCACCACGGCGGCCATGAACGGTTCCATCGCCTCGGCCAACAACGCCACGCTGGCCACGGTGGCCGCCAACTACGGTCTCAAGACGGTGGTGGACCAGCACTCCCTCGACATAGCGGCGAGGATCACGCCGCTGGAGGTGGACACCAAGGTGGCCAACGCTCTCCTGGGGGCCGTCACCGCCGCGGCGCTGGCCTCCGAGCTCGCAAGCAGAGACGCCTCCATCGCGGGGCTGCAGGCCTCCAAGGCAGACGCCAGCGCCCTGACAGCGTACGCCCTGCAGTCGGCCGTGGACACTTCCTCGGTGGTGGACTCTAAGATAGCGACAACCCTCCTGGACGCCGTCACCACGGCAGCCCTGGACGCCGCCCTCCTCGGCAAGGCGGACGCAAGCGCGCTGGCCGCCCTGCTCTCCACGGTGGACGGACTGGACACTCCACTGGAGGTAGACACCAAGATAGCAAATGCCCTGCTGGGTCTCGCCACCGAGGCCTTCGTCGCAGCTTGCTAGCCGGGACGCCAGCATCACGGCGCTCCAGGGGGGCAAGGCCGACGCGGCGCTGCTGGCCTCGTACGCCACGAACGCCGCGCTCTCAGCCAGCGAGACCACGCTCCAGAGCGCCCTCGACGCAATCCTCGCGGAGCTCGCCGCCCTGCAGCTTTCCGGCAGCGGCGGAGTTGTTAACGCACCGGCCGGGGCGGGCTTCACAACTTGGGAGCTCGTTCGCGGAAGCAACGTCGTTCGCAACCTGCATCTGGAGGCTCCTCTCTCTGCTGCGCTGGCCAACGGCGACGACACGCTGCGTCACGGCCGACTGCTACTCCATCGCAGTGGCGGACGCGGCCCTCGCAGCTGCGCTGCTGGCCTACTACATCTCGGCGCAAGTGGACGTGCTGCTGGGCGACGACACGCGCTGCTGGGCGACTACCGAACGGCGAGCGCCCAGGACAGGCGCCATCGCGGGTGCGCTGCGACCGGACCAGGACGTTTTCACCACCGCCTCGGCGCTGGTGCATTGCTTGGCTGCCGACCAGGACACGGCAATGGCCTCCAGCCCTGCTCGGCTACTACACCATCGCGCAGGTGGACGGCCTCCTGACGCGCAAGCTGGGCGTGAGAGAGGGGGAGAGAAGGCGCCCGCGTCCTCCACGCGCCGGTCCGCTTCTTGTTGTACCGGAACTTGTCGGCGTTACAGCCGGAACTCGGTGGCCGGCTGCTTCTCCTCAGCGCTCCGTACACCGTCTCGTGCGGCTGGGCAAAGTAGGCCTGCTGAGCTCCCGGCCGGGAGTCAGGCTGCAGGTGACGATGTTCCAGGGGTTCACAACCAGGGTCAGCGTGTAGCCGTCGACGCTCAGAGCCGCGACGGTGCGTGGCCACGCTGCGCTGGGGCGGACCGGCCAGTTCGACAGGGAGACGTCCATGAAGCTTTGCCAGCTTTCAAGGCAGCGTCCATGCGGCAACACGCCGGCTAACGAAGCGCGGCAGGCCGCTGCGCTGAGGCAGCTGGACGACTTCCTGGGACAGCTCCCGCCCAGGACCATTGACTGAGGGCTTTGAAACGGACGCTACAAGAGTATCCCGCTTTGTGCGGCTTAAAAACGCGGTTGCAGATGAACACCCAAGCCCAGCTCCACACAAAAAAGGCAGGACTTGCGCCTTGGGCGAGCTTGGGGGACGCCACGTGACTGCACAATGGCACGCTCGAGTCAAACCATGTCAAGACTTTAGGGATTGGGTCGCCACAACATCTGCCAAATTTGCCTCTTGGGATGCCCCGCCAATCATCAAGATTTCCAGCGCTCCCCCCCCCCTAGCCCCCGCTACCCGTGCTACCCGTGTTCCCCCCCCCCGCGCTACCCGGCTACCCGCGCTGCCCCCGCTATCCCCCCGCTACCCATGCTACCCATGCTACCTGTGCTACCCGTGCTACCTTGTAAAAATGCTGCCAGGGCCAATGTAGTTGCGCTTTGTTGAGGTGGGTAGCATGGGTGCATGGCCTCTCCCCCAGGTCTGCATCAAAATGTGAAGCTGCCAAGCTTGTCCTTTTCTATCCAGCCTGTTTCCAGCGCTGGCTGGATGAGGCATCCTGTCCTTGGCAGCGACAACAAATCTGCAAGAAAGCCCACGTGGGGGCAAAAAGCACGATGGGCTTGCCCAACTTTTCACTCGCACGATGTAGAAAACTCTCTCCTGAACAGGCCGACTGCCCAAACTACTGCTTCACTGTGGGGCATCTGCCTTTGATCACCTGCTCAAACTTCTTGTAAGTCTCTGCGGGCACGCGCTCCTTCATGATGGCGGCCACGCCCTCATCGCAAACCAATTCCTTCATCACCTCCCCGGTGAGCGGCGAGGCCCATGAGGCCTGGAGCCCATCATCCGTGGTCTCGATCTTGGCGCCGCCCACTTGAGCAAGCTCCAGCGTGTTCTTGTCGAAGGCCTCCACTGGCAGCCCAAAGGCCATCTTTGCAGCGGCCAACATGGCCTTGCCGGTCTTGGTGGCCTTCTCCTCCTTCTCCATCCCTCCTTCTGTCAGCTCCAGACTGTACTTGAGCTGCTCCTTGTGCCACTTCTTCACGCCCTCGATGCCCAGGGCTCGATTTTCATCCAAGCGGCGCAAGAGCTCGAAGGAGCCGTCCAAGGAGCGGACAATTTGGGCCACGCCCTCCTCGCCAAAGTCCGCTTCGAAGCGCTCCTTGACGTGTGGCTGCATCTCCTCGGAGGTAGGCGCTGGAGAGTACCTCATGTCCGTGCGCTTTGCCACGTGCGTCATCAGCTTGAAGTACTGGGCCACACCGTACTCGCTGGCGACCAGGACCACATTGCCCCACAGAGAAAGGGCACAAAAGCGGTTCAGGATGCCGCTGTGCTGCATCACCTCGTTCGCGAGAATCTGCGTCTCATCCACCACCAGAACCAGTTGCTGCGGGTGTGCCTCGAAGGCTCCACGCAGGCCCTTCCGCACCGCATGGGGCTGCGGCTGTGGGAAAAACAACCACTTCATGTGCTGAAACCAGCCGTGGAAGGTGGCTGTCTGGTTTGAGATCAGGCTGCCCACCACGAACTCCTCGATCTTCTCCTTGTCGTTCTCCTCGCCCGTGTAGTCGCCGAGGCCGATGAAGAAGCCCACCTTGCCTTGATCGTGGCATTCCTTCAGCACCGCACTGGTCTTTCCAGAGGTCTGCAGTCCGCTGATCAGCGTCATCAGCTCGAAGTTCTTGCGCTCTTTCAAAGCCTGCCGGACGATCTGTGTCATGCTCTTGTTGGCCACCCAGGGCTTGGCATACGTCGGTTCCTTAAAGCGCCCAGCGGAAATGCTCCACAGGTACCATCGGGCATACCCCTCTGGGTTCCAGGAGTTGTAAAAACGTGCGCCCGTGACACCAGTGCCCACAAGAGCCAGGGGAAGCGTTGCCACCTTGTAGATGCTGGCAACCTGCTGCAGCCGCGCCCACCATGAGCTTTGAAACATGGCAGCTGACGGAAGCTTTTGGGGACTTTTTGCGGTGCTTCGCGCTATGATCAAAAAACATATCCAAAAATCGTTTTGCTTGAGGTTGAAAGGAAACTTGTCTATTGGACGAACGTCGCTGTGTGTGAGCCAACCCTTTCACACAATGCACACAATGCACAGCCAACGCATCCTATCTGAGCGCATCTTGGACACCGGTCATGCAAACAAGCCTCCCATCCTCAGGCAGCGGCTCCATCTGTTGGCGCATCTGCATCGCCTGGCAACGCGAGAACGGGGAAACGCAAGGCCAACAAGGAAGCAAGGCCAACTACAAGCTCCAACTCCAATAAGAACTCTTGTATCAAGACATGTCGGGCCTGATTCCGCTGGCCTGCTTCTCATCCACACTTTCCTCGTCATCTGAGATTGCTGCACCTGCTGGCGCCTGGACGCATCACCAGCTACCCGCAAAAAATGAGCTCCAAAAATTGCAGCTTCACAAGCCCTGGATGAGTTTATGTTCAGATAGCACGGCCCTTTCCCGCTCATCCCCAAACCAGAAACGGCCAGCAAGCTTGAAGGCGCATTCTCAGGTGCAGGTGGAGGCACCTGTCTGGACTGGGTCGTGAATCTCCATGGCCTGCAGCGCTTTCGAGCAAGGCGCTTTCACGCAGAAACTCACCACGGTCATCAAATGCCTCACCAGCACCAGCGGAAGGCCCAGGTCGAAGACGAAAGATAGCCGTGTGCATAAAGTAGAGACCTTGCTGCAGCATGCTTGAAAGACATCAAGGCAAAAAACAAAGTAATAGACATCCAGTCAAGCAAGCACTCTGCGGGGCCATGCCACCCATGCTACCCATGCTACCCATGCTACAAATGCTACCCATGCTACCCAGCACAAAAATGCAACCACACTCGCCCTGGATGCGTTTCTGTTCGGGGTAGCACGGGTAGCACGGGTAGCATGGGTAGCATGGGCAGCATGGGTAGCGTGGGTAGCACGGGTAGCATGGGTAGCATGGGCAGCATGGGTAGCGTGGGTAGCAGGGGTAGCAAGGGTAGCAAGGGCAGCATGGGTAGCAGGGGTAGCAAGGGTAGCACGGGGTCACCCGGCCTTGCGTGCACTTCCCAAAAAAACAGCAAAATTGCCCTGTGGCCTGCTCGCGCACACACACACACACACATGCTGGCTCAAAGTTGCAAGCGGTTTGCAAGCTTCAAGAACATGCTGGTTCACAAGTAAAAAAATCCAAGGCTGTTGGATGTACAAGAGCAAGAGAGCCAGCAACATCGCAACGGGTTTGCAAGCGTCAAGGACATGTTGGTTCAGCATGTGGCGCAGCACATGCACAACCATGCCCTGGAGGTCCTTGTCCGCCAAACTCTGCAGCTCCAAGACCAGCTCCGCTCGGACCATTTTGGACACTGTTTTGTTGGCGGGAACAGCGCTCTCCTCATCCGAAGAAAATGAACCATCCAAAGATCCTGAGGACTCCACCTTCTCGCTTGGCCTGGGGCTCATCAGCCTAGCGCCTCAGGAAGCTGCGACCGCACAACAAAGGTCCTGGCAACCAACCAGAATTGGCCCCCCTTCCAAAATGGCCCCGGCTACCCGTGCTACCCGTGCTACCCGCGGGATTGCGGCGAGCCTCCCAAAATGGCCCCTGCTACCCGTGCTACCCACGCTACCCCTGCTACCCATGCTACCCGTGCTACCCGTGCTACCCGTGCTACCCGTGCTACCCGTGCTACCCGCGCTACCCGAGGGATTGCGGCGGGCCTCCAAATGGCCCCATGCTACCCATGCTACCCATGCTACCCATGCTCCAGCTCAGAAATGCAACGAGGCATGCCTTGGCCGTGTTTTAAGGCTGGGTAGCATGGGTAGCATGGGTAGCAAGGGGATTTTGGAGGGTAAACTGCAGCAAGAGACAGGCCTGGTCCTCGTTGCTTGCCTTTGGCCTGGCACCAGGACACACTCAAGTTCCCTCTCCAAAAAGGCGCATGAATAAAGAATGCATGACATGCATTGACACCAAAAGCACATGAGGCAACAGACAGGCCTCGTCCTCCCTGCCTTTGGACTCATCTGCATGGCTTTCAATCGCCTTCGAGTCCCTCTCCAAAAAAAAATGCATAGCACGCTCTGACAGGCCTTCTCGTCTTCAGGCTCATCCGCCTGGTTCATGCTCGCCTGGCACCATGCTACATCCACGGAGTGACGCACAACAAAGCCGGGGTAGCATGGGTAGCATGGGTAGCGAGGTTCTGTTGGGGTGATGAAGAAGAAAAAAAAACAGCAACACACGGGCCTCGCTGTCTTCCCCATCGGATTCATCTGCATGCCCTTCGATCGCCTGGCGCTATGTGACCCACTCAAGCTCTCTCCCCAAAAGCATGAGCAACAAATGGATACGCACTGACAAGCCTGAGTCCTCTCCCCTTCCGGCATGTCAGCATCGTTTGAGTTTGCCTGACTCTCCATGACTTCTGAAAAACACTGTATTCAAGCAGGAAGACTGCGGGCCTCGCTCCCTCCTTCGTCATGAGGGTTGGCATTGTCCACCGGCATCGGCTGCACAGGATCCTTGATTTCCACAGCCTCCGGGAATGCAACATGATCTTGACTATCAAAAAAAATGTAACAGCAGGCCTCCTTCCTCTTGACTTCGGGCTCGTTCGTTGGCACGAGCCGTACTGCAGGCCTCCTTCCTATCAACTTCGGGCTCGTTCGTCGGCACAAACTGCACCGGCTCTGTGATTTCCATGGCCTGGCGGGAATGCAACAGGACCAGAGATCAATTTACTGAACTAATCAATCTTGCTTGAAAGGGAAAGGATCCGCCTCCAGAGAAGGCGCAATAGTCGGGTCCACTCCGCGGCAGGTCTCTAGTCGCCAAAATGGCACTGCAACGGCAAGTCAATCACGCACATGAATCTCAAGATGACTCTCCGCCCGGAAAAAATGCACTGCTCAAAAAAACGTTTTCCTGCCTCGGCCCCAAAAAACCCCATGCTACCCATGCTACCCATGCTACCCGTGCTACCCGTGCTACCCAGCTCGTAAGTGCAGCGAGCCCTCACCTGGCCAACCCTGCACTGCTCAAAAAAACGTTTTCCTGTCTCGGCCCCAAGAACCCCCATGCTCCCCATGCTACCCATGCTACTCATGCCTCTGCTGGCTGTTTTGTGAGCTGGGTAGCATGGGTAGCATGGGCAGCATGGGGGTTTTGGGGCCGAGACAAGCTAACCATGATACCCGACTCACTGAGCATGGGTAGCATGGGTTTTCCAGTAGTCACGGCTGACAAGCAAAAAAACATCGGCGTGTTGAAAGAGGGGTGCAAGAGGGTGCAATCACAAATCAAGCCAATTCCATGCAAAATCGAACAAACAAGAGGGGGTGCAAAAGGGGTGCAATCACAAATCAAGCCAAAAACATGCAAAATCGAACAAAAAAGAGGGGGTGCAAAAAGGGGTGCAAAAAGGGTCGGGTTGGGCGAACCAGTATCAAACCAGCGGGCTGGCGTGGGCAAACCGTGCAAAACCGTGCAACACGAGCTATTAGCCTAGGGTCTATATTTATGTAGGGCCTAGGCTAATAGCATTTTGTAGCTCAAAACCGTGAAAAACCGTGCAAAAGAAGGGGGACTCTGCCCGGAGTTTTTTTTCCTGTCAGGCTGCCGTGCGTGTTGGCAACGAAGCGCGACTCCGGGGGGTCTGGCGCTGGGGGGCGGGATTTTTTTTCGGCAGTGCCGAGCGGGCACTTTAGGTAGGACGTGCCGAGCAGGCACAGTGCCGAGCAGGCACCGTAGGAGTGCCGAGCAGGCACAGCGCCGAGCAGGCACAGCGCCGAGCAGGCACAGCGCCGAGCAGGCACAGCGCCGAGCAGGCACTGGAGGGTAGGCAGTGCCGAGCGGGCACAGCGCCGAGCAGGCACAGCGCCGAGCAGGCACGTAGGATACTGGTTCGCCCAACTCCGTTTCGATACTGGTTCGCCCAACCCGTTGGTTTCCCGAGGACCCCAAACCCGGACCCAAACACGACTCAACCAATCACGGAACAGAAGTAGTCAATCAAGGGTGGCCCGGCCTGAGGGGAGGCGCCAGGACGTTGTTCGATGGTGAGGGAGACGGAGCTCGGAGTTTTTTGGGGCCCTTATAGGAACCTATAGGAACCTATAGGAATCTTATAGGAAACTCATAGGAAACCTGTAGGAAGCCCTCTTCATCTATTTCTATGGGCTTCCTATGGACTTCCTATGAGTTTCCTATAAGATTCCTATAGGTTCCTATAGGTTCCTATAAGGGCCCAAAAAAACTCCGAGCTCCCGACACCCTTCGTCTGGTTGGGTCATGACCCGTTGGGCAGACCCCCCGTACCCGTTGGGCGAACCAGTACTTTAAAAAAACGAAACCCCCCAGGCACGTTGGACAGACCAGTACTCGAAAAAAAAATCCGAAACCCCTCCAGACCTGTTGGGCAGACCAGTACTTGAAAAAAACGAAACCCTTCCAGACCCGTTGGGCAGACCAGTACTAAGCCAAAAATGCCGCGCCCTTTGGGCAGACCAGTACTTGAAAAAACGAACCCCCTTCGGGCCCGTTGGGCGAACCAGTACTTGAAAAAACCCGACCCCTATCCCCCAGACCCGTTGGGCGAAAGGGTACTTTAAAAAAACCGAAACCCCACCAGACCCGTTGGGCGAACCAGTACTTTAAAAAAACGAAACCCCCCAGGCACGTTGGGCAGACCAGTACTCGAAAAAAAAATCCGAAACCCCTCCAGACCTGTTGGGCAGACCAGTACTTGAAAAAAACGAAACCCATCCAGACCCGTTGGGCAGACCAGTACTAAGCCAAAAATGCCGCGCCCTTTGGGCAGACCAGTACTTGAAAAAACGAACCCCCTTCGGGCCCGTTGGGCGAACCAGTACTTGAAAACGAATCCGAAACCCCACCAGACCCGTTGGGCGAACCAGTACTTGAAAACGAATCCGAAACCCCCAGACCCGTTGGGCGAACCAGTACTAAGCCAAACCCCCCCGGTCCCGTTGGGCAGACCAATACTAAGCCAAAAACCCCGGGCCTGCTGGGCGAGCCAGTACTTGAAAAACCTGAACCCATAATCAAGCAGAAAAACTAGCGAAAAGTCAACCGGCTGAAGGTTGCAATCAGGGTGCAATTAGGGTGCAATTAGGGTGCAATTAGGGTGCAAAAGGGTGCAACCCAAAAATCGTGCAAAAACACACACAAACAGGCTAAAAAAGGGTGAGTGCCAGAGGACGCACTCCCAAACGAAGCTAAAAACACCCGCAAAATCAAGCAAAAAGCCAACCGGCTGAAGGGTGCAATCAGGGTGCAATCAGGGTGCAATTAGGGTGCAATTAGGGTGCAATCAGGGTGCAAAAGGGTGCAACCCCAAAATCGTGCAAAAACACACAAAAACAGGCTAAAAAAGGGTGAGTGCCAGAGGACGCACTCCCAAAGGAAGCAAAAAAACACCCGCAAAAATCAAGCAAAAAGCCAACCGGCTGAAGGGTGCAATCAGGGTGCAATTAGGGTGCAATTAGGGTGCAATCAGGGTGCAATTAGGGTGCAAAAGTGTGCAACCCAAAAATCGTGCAAAAACACACACAAACAGGCTAAAAAAGGGTGAGTGCCAGAGGACGCACTCCCAAACGAAGCAAAAAACACCCGCAAAATCAAGCAAAAAGCCAACCGGCTGAAGGGTGCAATCAGGGTGCAATCAGGGTGCAATTAGGGTGCAATTAGGGTGCAATCAGGGTGCAAAAGGGTGCAACCCCAAAATCGTGCAAAAACATGCAAAATCGGGCGCAGTTGGGCGAGCCAGTATCAAAACGGAGTTGGGCGAACCAGTATCAAAAACGGGGTTGGGCGAACCAGTATCAAACCCCAGCGGGTTGGGCGGGCCAGTATCAAACCTGAACGGGTCGGGCGGCGGGCCCCTTATAGGAACCTATAGGAACCTATAGGAATCTTATAGGAAACTCAGAGGAAACCCATAGGAAACACATAGGAAACCGTAGGAAGCCCTCTTCTTCTTTTCCTATGGCCTTCCTATGGAATTCCTATGAGTTTCCTATAAGATTCCTATAGGTTCCTATAGGTTCCTATAGGTTCCTATAAGGGCCCAAAAAAAACTCCGAGCTCCGACCCCCTTCATCTGACTGACCCGTTGGGCAGACCAGTACTAAGCCAAACTCGGGGCCAGACGATGACTCACATGAGCGGTCTACTAAGGGTCGTTGGGCGAACCAGTACTAATCCTACGTGCCCGCTCGGCACTGTGCCTGCTCGGCACTCCTACAAGTGCCTGCTCGGCACGTCCTACAGTGCCTGCTCGGCACTCCTAAAAGTGCCCGCTCGGCACTGTGCCTGCTCGGCACGTCCTACAGTGCCTGCTCGGCACTCCTAAGTGCCTGCTCGGCACTCCTAAGTGCCTGCTCGGCACTGCCCACCCGCCCCAGCGCCAGACCCCCCGCAGTTGCTTCGCCAGGATGACCTCACAAGCACGGCAGCCTGACAGGGAATGAAAAAAAACTTCGGGGGGGTTGGGGGGGGTGCACCACATGCCAAGCACAATCAAGCAAAATCATGTCATGCCAAAATCATGCAAAAATCATGTCACGCCATGCAAAAATCGTGCAAAACGAGCTATTCCTCCGGTCCGTACATTTATGTACAAACTAGAGGAATAGCATTTTTCAGCGCAAAACCGTGCGAAACAAGCTCCCGACCATCTGCACAGATGCCGAGACTGCGCGCGGCCGGGCAAAAAAAACTGGCCCCGTATTAAAAAAAGAATGGCAAGTTGGGCGAGACAACGACAGCAGATCACGGAGGCCGCGGACGGCGGCGCCCGGGCTCGCACGGGGGCGGATGGTGCCGTCGTGCTGAACCTGCGGCGCGGACCGGGGGCCTACGCGCTGCTCTCGCGCGCGGACGGGCAGCTGACCCGGCGGGCCAGCACTACTACTCCCACCTGGGCCTGCGGCCTCCCAGCAAGGACTTCGACTACAACCAGCCCCTCATCCGCGAGGGGCCCAACGACTACATCCTGCTGCGCAACGGGCAGAAGAACTCGTGCGCTCCCTGCAGGGCGGAGAGCACCGGCTGACCAAGCTGGGCAAGGGCTTCTTCCGCGACAAGTACTACGAGTACCTGGTCCACGTGCCGGTGATCATCCGGGGCAGGCGGCGCAGCGGGCGGAACTACGAGCGCAGGGACTGGCTGCCGGTGAACGAGCTGGGCGGGGCCATGACGAGGCACCCGGCGCACCTCACGGAGGAGCAGGTGGCGCAGCGGGTGAAACAACAAGTGGAGGCCTCGCTGGACCCGGGCGGCCCCATCCTGCAGCTCTCGGACGAGACCTACTTCCTCGACCCCGAGGGGCACTGGGTGGTCAGCACCCAGAGCACGCACTACAGGAACTCCAGGTCCGAGGTGGAGACGCTCCTGCGCCAGCGCATGAGGGGCCTGAGGAGCGTGAGCTTCCAGCTGCCCTGCGAGGAGGACGTGCTGCCGAGCGCCTTCGAGGACAAGCCGCTCTGCGTGCCCCGGCAGCTGGCCAAGCTGCTGCAGCTGAGCGTGGAGGAGGTGTGCGCGGACTTCGACGCCATGCTGCGCCACGACTGGAGGCCGCGACCTCGCATTCTCCGCATTGGTTGTAGCCATACTGAACAACCCAAAAACAGCCCGCAGTGCATGAGGGTGTGGGCCGGGGCTGCGGCCTCATCTGGGGGCGC